TTTTTCAGAAGCGACCTGGCCACAAATGATAGTTAAACGAAGCGGCTTGTTGCGTGGAAATGTATAGAAGCTCAATAATATAAACACATGTTGATTCTAAATGTGGAGATAAATCCACGCGACTTAGGGGGAAACATGCAAACTCCCAATATACAGGCATCAGGGTCAGGATCATACCCATGACCTTCTGTATACCAGACGAGGTAGCTAACATCTCACCACCCCAGAGCCCAATTATTGCAATAATCACTTCCTGTCCGATTATTGTATGATGCTTGTTAACACAGGAACGCTTCACTGAGTCTCAAGACTTTTTCAGGAGGGTCCTGCCAAGTTATTCACAATAAGGGGGTAATGTTGTTGCTGTGTGTGATCCCAATTGTTTGCAGGTAATCTTTCAACATTAGGATGTTTGGCCAATACCAGTTACAGTTTATGATGTTATAGCTATGGGAGAAAACTTTAATACCTGGAGGAAACCCATGCAGAACAGGAGAAGAACATAACAAAAAATCCAGTCAGGAATCGAACCCGTCACCTTCTTCGTGTGAGCCATGAGTGTCACCACTGTGCCATACTGACACCCAATCACAGTAACAATGCATCGTAAGTCCTCACGTCCATCACTGTGTTGCCCCATCTCTCCCTAACCATACTCGTCCCTCCGCCATTCCATCAGTAAGTCGACTCATCAGTAATTATTCATTCGAGCCGCTTGTCCTGAACGTTTTTTTGTTTGATTTTCTCAACAGCGCGTGAAGTCACGCATGTGTATATTTGCTCTCTGATGTATATGTCGTGTGTTATTCAAAGCCAAGTCTGTTACCATGCATATCGTGTGATTTTCAACTCCTTTTCCATTTAACATTTTTGTACCGTGTTTCCAATCCATATGTCCAGGCTGGAAATATGCACCGGAGGAACAACTTTCTTTTGACACATTTACATCTGCATATCCAAAACGGAAATTAATGCCCAAAGGCTTTTCTCTCTGCTGCAGTACTCTTTCTTACAGGTTATGAACGTAATACTGATTACATGGCAGAGTGGTTGTCCTAGGTACTGACGCTGACATTTACTCCAGCTGTCACCGTAAGCGCAATGACACTTGTATTTAGTAACGTCAAAGTGATCATAATGATTGGGAACATCAAACTCGGGCTGTGCTCAAAGCAAACAAGATCAGCTGTTTAAAGAAGGCCCATCCAACTAATCTCGCAATATGCAGGAGTGCAAGTCTGCTTGCGCCCGACGGGTATTCAACAAACACCTTAATAAGCCACAAGAAAATAATTTGCATTTGACGGCACAGACACGTGTCAGAGCAGCGCCAGGTAAAACTAAGTGGCGTGCGCTATTTTTTATCACACAGATGGCACACGGGTATCTACCGATAAAAAAAGATACTGCCGGCATTATTTTTTATAGTATAATTTCAATGCAATCTTTTGTAATGTCTCAATGACATGTTTGCCGTTTACAGCCCCAAAGAGTAGGCCTTTGTAAACTGCAATTCCTCGTGTGGAGCTCCTACCTGGCTGAGTAAGCTCTCTGTCCTGGGGCACCTGTGAGCAGTGGGTGCGAGTGAGAGAGGGAGAGCCCAGTGATCTCTCGGGCCCGTGCAAACCAGCCCTGGGGTTTGCAGGTGGGGTGGTTGTACCAATGAAATTTCACAGGCACCGTCGAGAATGTTAATAATAGCCACGCAACGACTTCCATGTGACCTGCACAGTGCACTTCCTCTAGATTTGTGTGTGCGATTAATCATTGGATTCTTTTGAAACCGTGCCCCCCACCCAAAGAGAAAATGTACCAAATAGTTTTACCCATAAAAGAGACATTCTGTTTACAATCTTACCTATAAATGTCAATGTTTGTCTGTCTGTCTTTCTGTGTCTGTGTGTGTCTGTGTATGTGGCCAAAACTTGCGAAGGATTTGGGTCGATTTGGGTCGCAAACCGTGGGGTTTACGGATCAAAAAAAGTTGCCAGATACCACGCCATAAGCCGCGTGCTGAGCCAGCGCTATTCCAATTTCGCGTCCGTCACCTTTAAAGTAGTTTAATTATGCGATTTAATGCTGTTTTTGCTTATTTATTAATTAGCTACCGCGTGTTCGACCCTATCCAAGTCACACGCGTTCGGTGAGGGGGGAATTCTCTTTCGTGTGGACACTGCGCCAGGTAACACACAGATTTACAGCTTCCTTCAAACATTTATTACCATGACTGTTTACTCATTACAAATTGCCTTTTATAGGTTAGAAGATGTAATGACAGGGATGAACCAATGTTTATGAAGAATAGCCTTTCTCTGCACTCTTGAGGCATAAGCAGCTACGCAATATCACTTACTGCACAGAGATAAACCAATACATATACTCAATTACGTCTTCATTCTATCAAATTTACAATTGCCCCCTCAGTACGGGGGTTGAGTAGTGACATAATGTCAATTACACTTGATTGGTGCTCGTCTGCTCATAGTTACAGGTAGGTTGGGTTCATTTTGTATTCGTTGACTTTCATTTATTTGCTCTCTTGTTCGCGCCAAATGTTTGCACAAAAATGGTGGAACACCCTCGCAGTCGCTCCTAATTACTTATTATACACGTGTGCATTTCCCGTCTCCCTTGCTTCTTTCGCGAAAGTCACGTACATAGAAAACCATTATTTACAAACTTATTTAGTCTATATACAGTTAGAGTGTGCGTGTGTACGTCCATGTGTGCGTGTGAGTCCATATATGTGTGTGCGTTGTGTCTGTGCGAGTCTGCGTGTGTGCGTCAATGTGTATGCGAGTCAATGTGTGTGTGTGACAGTCGCTGTGTTTGTTTGTGTACCTCCATGTGTGTGTGCGCGGTGTGTTTAAGTCGATGTTTGTGTGTCAGTCGATGTGTGTGTAAGTCCATGTGTATGTGCGTAGTTCCATGTGCGTGTGAGTCTATGTATGTGTGTGTTTAAGTCGATGTGTGTGTGTGTAGGTCCATGTGTGTCAGTCGATGTGTGTGTGTGTGTGTACGTTGAAATGTGTGTCTGAGTGAATCCATGTGCGTTTGTAAGTCGACGTGTGTGTATAAGTCAATGCGTTTGTGTGTGTGTGTGTGTCGATGTGTGTCAGTTGATGTGTGTGTACGTCGATATATGTGTGTGTGAGTCCATGTGTGTGTGTGTGTGTAAGTCCATATGTGTGTGTGTGTAGGTCCATGTGTGTGGGGAGCGGTAGTGTAGCGGTTAGCGCGCTGTGCTATGAACCTGGCGACCTGGGTTCGATTCCCGCTCATGGCCAACACCAGTGACGATTATCTGAACTGGTCCCGGGCCTTCCCTAGGTCGATTCAGCCTCAAATGAGTACCTGGTGCGATGTGTAAACATCGTCACTAGGGAGACAAAGGCGGCCGGGCGTAGTGTTGGCCACCCACCCCCTCGTGTGCCGTGCCGGCCTTCATAGGTGTTCGCTAACAGCACTTGCCCCTACAGTCTGTTGAGGCTAAATGGGGGATCTTTGTCTTTTTGACTCTATGTATGTGTGTGTTTAAGTCCATGTGTGTGTGTGTAAGTCGATGTGTGTGTGTGTGTGAGTCGCTGTGCATTTGTACGTCGATATGTGCGTGTGTAAGTCCATGTGTGATTAGTCGATATGTGTGTGTGTAAGTCCATATGTTTGTGTGTGTGTAGTTCCATGTGTGTGTGCGTCGATATGTGTGTATGCGAGTCAATGTGTCTGTGTGCATCTATGTGTGTGTGCGTAAGTCTGTGTGTCTTAGTCGATAGTGGGGAGCGATAGTGTAGTGGTTAGCGTGCTGCGCTATGAACCCTGCGACCCGAGTTCGATTCCCGCTCACAGCCAACACCAGTGACGATTATCTGAACCGGTCCTGGGCCTCCCCTAGGTCGACTCAGCCTCAAATGAGTACCTGGTGCGGTGTGTAAACATCACCACTAGGGAGACAAAGGCGGTCGGGCGTGGTGCTGGCCACCCACCCCCTCGTGTACCGTTCCGGCCTTCATAGGTGCTCGCTAACAGCACTTGCCCCTACAGTCTGTTAAGGCTATACGTGGGATCTTTGTGTGTCTTAGTCGATAGTCGATGTGTGTGTGAGTCTATGTATGTGTGCGTGTGAGTCAATGTGTGTGTGTAAGTCGATGTGTGTGTAAGTCGATGTGTGTGCGTGGGTCCATGTGTGTGTGTCTTAGTCACTATGTGTGTAAGTCCATGTGTGTGTGTGCATAGGTCTATGTGTGTGTGAGTCGATGTATGTGTGTGTGTGAGTTAATGTGTGTGTACATCCGTGTGTGTGTGTATAAGTCGATGTGTGTGCAAGTTGCTGTGTGTGTGCGTGATTTGACGTGTGTGTGCAAGTCGATGTGTGTGTGTCAATGTATGTGTGTAAGTCGATGTGTGTGTGTGCATCCATGTGCGTGTGTGTAAGTCAATGTGTTTGTGTGTGTGTACGTCGATGTGTGCGTGTGTGTAAGTCCATGTATGTGTAAGTCCATGTGTGTATTTCAATCTACGTGTGTGTATGAGTCCATGTGTGCGTGTTAGTCAATATGTGTGCGTGTGTAAGTCCATATGTGTGTGCGTGTAGGTCGATGTGTGTGTGAGTCTATGTGTGTGTGTGTGTGTGAGTCGATGTGTGTGTGGGTCAACGTGTTTGTGTGTGTGGGTCGATGTCTGTGTGTGTGTAAGTCAATGTGTGTGTGTCTTTTTCGCCCGGGCAACGCCGGGTACTTCCCACGAGGATCTTTATAAATGCACACCTGCAGTACAACGTGTGCAGCAGCACACTATAGTGTGAAATTCCGATGCGGTCTCTTGCGAATTAACCTCGTGTATCGGGGTGTATTGATGCAAATTAACATTGCGTTTTGTGATTCTTTTTTTTATAAACATTTATGAATCTCAAAATACATTCGTCTGTTCCCCCACCAACGGGGTGGTTGGGAGACGTGTGATGCCGACACGTCCGAGTTATTCTCTGCTCCGGGCATCCTCACCTTGGGCACTGTGGGCGCGGTTGGCGTTGGGCTGTCGATGGACGGTGCAGGCAGGGGGGGCGTGTCCCCATCGATGTCGCCATCTCCGCTCTGGTCACCTCCAGAGGCCTGGACACGTCCCGCACAGCGAGCTCGTCACCAAACACAACGGTGCTCGCAGAGGCACACTCGGCACCGTTTCACACTCCCGGAAGAAACACTCGGCACCGTTTGTATTTTTCGCGGAATTTTGAAGATTTTCAGAATTCATCGAGCTCGTAAAAGAGATCTACAACAAGTTGAAAAAGGTCAGTCGCTCAATAGCTTGCAGCTGTGCCCTGCTTTTGACATTAATACTTGTCTGTTGACATGTTAGTGCAACGGTCACCTTATATGTGGCTGATGTTTCCGTAACCTGCTTTGTAACTCCACTATGATCGGTCTGGGAATATTCTTCCCAAGCCAATGTGTGCTGCAGGGAGTCTATTCATTGGCATTGATGTGTGTTTGTGCACCAATTGCAACTTCTCATGCGATGCAAAAGTTGTTGTTCTGATTTGTGTTTGCTTGGTTGCTGTACTTTTTGTTTGTTTGTTTCACTTAGTCATTTTGGCGACCAAGGCCATGACCACTGTTTGAACAAAATATAATCGTAATTTATGGCCTTTTGTCAATCCACTGCTGGATGAAGGCCTCCCCACACCGTGTCGTTCGTAGGGGTTACTTTGACCAAAACTTCTCCACACTGGTTAGCTGGCGACCTTGCATCGAACTCAGCGCTGCACCACGCAGGGCTCTCCGACGGGTGAACTCGACATCGTGGCCCACTAGAGGCACACAGAGGGGCGTCACCGGGCGCTCCGACCACCGCCTCTCTTTCCGAGAGAAAGTTGGCCGGGCGGTGCATCGCGGGGGCCATCGTCGGGGGCCATCCTTCGGGCCATCGTTCAGGGTCATTGTCGGGGGCCATCATCGGGGCACTCACTTCCAGCACGTCGTCATCCTCGCAGTGCTGCCTGGCCGCCGATGGTTCCGTGCTGATCCTCAGGTCGTTGATGACTCCCTGCGCACGCACGGACACGGGGCACACGCAGAAACGCTCGTCACCGCAACAGGAGCCGCCGCCGCCACGACGCTCCCGCTCGGCATCTCCGCGGAGACCGTGCGTTACATCACCACGGTGACACGTGCAACGACGGCGACCGCTCAGCGTCGTACCCGGCCACTCGCACTTCTCTCGTTTAAAAATTCGTGTTTCCAAACGTGAATTGCACCTCGCAAAAGTTTTTTTAAATGATACACGCCCTCCTAGACGCATCCGTTTTGACCATGATTTATAACGCGTGTGAGTGTTGGTGTGTGGGAAGGGTAGGTCGCTTGGGTGCAGTAAATTGGCTCCTCATGTCTTGGGCACAACCAACAAACAGCGAAGAAACCGTTATATAGATGCATTTACATGCTTTTGACAGAAACCACAGGTACCTTTTCTATAGGTCAAAACGAACATCAAGTGTATGCTAGATGTCTGAGAAACGCCTCGCCCAGCCAACACGTGGGTTGCTCAAGTGGCGAGGTGCTGCCCATAAGTTGAACTTCTTTTGCACCGTACTTAGCCAACCCTTACAGCACCCTTGCGCTCCATCTGCCTGTGAAAGAAATTGTCCTAGCCCACACACATTGTTTTTCTTTGGGATTTTCACCCTAAAAGCTATTTTCTTTTTAAATAACCCAGTGGTTTGGCATGCAGATTTCTTTGGCACTAGTTTGGCAGCCTCATAAGCTATAGTTAGTGATTGTACGATGGTCATAGAATTAATATTGATTGTTGATTTGCACTGCAGATCATTTACATTACATAATCGTCAAACTTGAATTTTTTGCTCCCGAAAGTGATGTCACCCGATGTTACCCGACACCGCTTTGGCATCCTGTCGTATCATTCCAAAACGCAAGATTTTTTTTTGTGTTTCCAGATAATCCGAAATATTTTGGTGCCTAAATTTATGTTTGTTGGCTTCATCCAAAAACTGGAAACTGGTCTCACGGTCCCCGCTCAGCCACGAGTGCACTGGGGTCTGGGTATCTCTTGGTTACCCCACGTGGCAGAGGCGGAATGGCTGATGACGGGAGGCCAATGTTTTACCTCCCAAGTTAATTATTGCTCAGATCAGTGCAAGTCAAACTAACGTGAACAAAGTATATACAAACAAGTGTTTACCAGCCACCAAATTATCTTTTAACAAAGCAAATACATGCCTGAGCAAACCCACATCCGGCTTAGTCATTGGGATACTCTAAGCATTACGCACACCTACCATATAACCAAAACACTGCAGGAAAACAGTGCCCAACAACTGCTGTTACACAACCCACATCATACATACGTAAGAATGAGCTCCCACTCCAGCCACCAGGTCATTCATGTCTATCCATTGGTTTTGTTTACTCTCTTCTCTGCATGTTTGGATCAACATTGACAAATATTCCCTTGCAAATATTGATAAATTCACCTCCTCACAAAGTGTGGCCATGTGTTACATTGAGGTGAAGCCATCATAATAAATGTAATAATAAAAATAAGTGAGTTGTGCCCTATTAGTATAAGATGACCTATTATATCACAACTCAGTATACCAACTATTAAAAACTAACAAAAATACGTTAAGTTTTACCACATAGGCCCACTGAACTATACAGCTCTTTTTCAGAAGTGACCTAGCACAATTCTAGTTCAACGAAGTGGCTTTTCATCACGTGGAAATGTAGAGCAGCCAAATACTCTAAACGCGTGACGTTGATTCTAAATGCGGAGGGAAAAACCGGAGGACTCGGAGAAAAATCCATGTGACCATGAGGAGAGAGAGACACGCAAACTCCAAATATACAGCAGCAGGCGTCAGGGTCGGGATCGAACCCATGACCTCCTGTATACCAGGCGAGGTTGTTAACATCTCCTAGCCGCACAACACGGTCTCAAACAGGGCTGGGAAGGGGAAGGGAGGGACATTAACTGGGAGATCAGCCCAAGAGCGTAAGACATAATTTAAATACATACTTAATAATCATTTTGCACATTTGGTATTGGTAGCATTATTAAAGCCCAGCAATATCAGGAAGGAAGGCGTCATGTTACACAGGCACAGTCTGCAGGAGGAGTTGCACAGCAGGGGACGATGTTGCTACGCGTGATCCCAAGTGTGTACGTAACTCGCAGTGTCATTTTAAAATTTTTGCCGTTATTTTGCGTGATGCCACTGGATCATTAACGTCCACTATAAAGCAGGCGTCGCGAAGCGTTGTTCGGTTAACTCACACCGGCAGTAAAAACCAGGGGCGGCCGCTCGACTCGCGAACCTCTGCAACAAGCGGAAAAAACGCACTACAGCTGGGCCCTGTCACCGCCCCGTAGAACGCAAATGAACTGCCAGTCACATCTTAATGAGCTAGCCAGCGAAAAAACCCGACAGTATCCACACCCACACATCCCTCCACATCCCACGAACAGACCCTCACTCCTACAAGCAAGTCCTCTCTACAACTTCATAGAGCAGCGTTCTTCACACATTTTCAGAGGGGGTGGAGGGGGGAGGCACTTTCGCCGATGAGACATCATCAGTGAGGGCCGCCACACATTTTAAACCGTTGGGGTTTGACAGCACAATGATGCTTGGGGGGGGAGGGGGGGTGCTTTCACATTATGTTGTGTATTGTCTGGGGCCAGAGGTCAGGGGCTGCACTAAAGGCCACCAGGGGCCGCCACCAGTGGCCTGCGGGCCTTGCAATAAAGAGCACTGCTAGAGGATGCAAGTCTCCAATTCGCACGGTTGGCTATGTATTGTGCGAAAGAAGTTCAACATACATACTAGTCTGTCTGCAAATACTGCATGTAGAGGCTACTCAGTCATGATCAACATTAGATTAGGGTGCAGCATAACACAGGTTGGATGTGAATGCACTCTATACCAGTGGCAAGTTGGCACCCGACTTCTTCTGAAAGAGGACTTATGCAGAGAATAATTACGATCGATAGCTCTGCAGTTATCTATACCATAAACCGTGTGTTATACATGGCATATTACATGGCTGCACGGTGGTGCAGTTGTAACACTCCTGTTCTATTCCTAAACTCTCGCGCCTTTCTGTGTGGAGTTTGTATATCTCCTCCGGTTCTGCACGGGTTTCCTCTGGGTACTCCAATTTCCTTCCATAGCAAAAAAACATACAAGGTATCTGGTACTGACCAAACATCCCAGTGCAAAAAAAGAATCCATCTCCCCCTCCTGTGAAAAACCTGGCAGGACCCTCCTGAGAAATAGACTCAGGCTTTCCCAGGTAAGCAAACGTAACAATAATGATTTTAAAGGAATCATGGGTAATGTGCCACAATGATATCTCATGGGTACCCTGGTGGCGAGCCGTTATCTGCCTCGCCTGGTATACAGGAGGTCGAGGATTCGATCTCAACCCTGACACCTGCTGTATATTTGGAATTTGCATGTTCTCCCTGTGGTCACGTGGACTTTTCTCCGGATCCTCCAGTTTTCCCCTCCACATTTAGAATCAACATACGTTTAGAGTATTTGACTGCTATAAATATCGACACGATAAGCCCACTTCGTTGAGCTATCATTTGTGGCCGGGTCGCTTCTGAAAAAGAGCTACGTTGCTCAGTGGGGCCTTACCAGGTAAAATAATAAAACATTTTGTTTAGTTCATAGTTTAATTTATAATCTTTTGTAGCTCACACGAGGCTCAAGCATCAGGCTGAGGGATCTCGCGGGTTAACGCCCACCTCAAAACCTTACTAGAAAAAGCATCTCCAAGAATAAACGTTGTTTAGGTCATCGTGCTGTAACTTTTCATGCAATAAATTGTAGACGCAGCATAATGAGCAAATGCGCAGGCCCTGGGGAGGTGCACTGCTATTGCAGGCTTTGTGGCCAACCCGAATGGGAGCCACATTTCTCCCTCACCGACCAGCAGATGCAAGCACAGGCAGCTAACCATGAGGATAAAGGCAGCTTTGTGCAGCTAATGGCCTAGCAGTCTCCGTATAAACCTAGAAGACTGGCTGCCTCTGTGTTATTTAGAAAATAAACATACAGCGTATATGTACTGTTAAATTACAGTGCATAAAAAAACAACTTGAAGGTTTATGGGCAAATGGAATAAATGATCCTCCGATTCACTGATGGCATGCATTTGTTTTCTGTCTGAAAGTTCATTATTTACGCGTTGCATTTTTGTAGTAGCATCGGCGAGCACAGCCACGATTGCTTTATTTTTTGCGCTGTCTAAATTATAATTCTCCGTCGACCGAGCGGCGAAGATACGGACTGCCTGGATGTTGCGACCAACATCACCGCATGGAGCATTGCACGCAACCAAACGTCATCTGCAGTGCATGCTGGGTGCAGCCATCTTGAAAATGCAATTTGCGCAGGGCGATAGATCCCGTGCAAATCACCGCTGCATTTTGCGGCTTTTTCCGACTTTGTCATTCGCGCTACCCTCAGAATTGTGGATTTTAAACAGCGGCCTTCGCGTGAGGTTTCAAACTTCTCGTGTCAATCCCCACCCTCGTACATACACCCCGCAGCACACTACTGCCCCCTTGTTGTCCGTCTCCTTTTCCCTGACACAGCTCAGCCGCCTTCTGTAATTGAGCCAGAATGTTTCAACTGACAACTGTGACCCCCGTGCACATTCTGTGCCATGTGAACATCAAATTCCAGATTAGATGACCGACGGATTGACGATTGTGCGCCCTTTCCGCAATCCCTCCAAAACTAACTGCCATTTTGAAATGGAGGGCCCTTTCTTGTGCTCGAAAACAGAAGCAACACTGTACTTCTTCCATTTACCAAAAACACAATCCACCATAAACAGCGAATTTCAACAGAACATTTTTGAAACCTTATGAGGGGCAGAAATGCTGTGTTTGCCCAAAAAGCTTGCTTAGCAGCGCTTTAATAGCCACTGTGGTAATAGATTTGTTTTTTTTTACGTGCAGCTGTGGAAAGTTAATGAGACATCCCTACAGGGATACAATTTCCCTCAAAA